TTCTACTCTGTCCTATAGGGTGCTTATGGGTCAGAATACACTGGATGGCAGTGGTTTTGTTTTGTCTTGTTTTTATGTTTAGTGACAGTCTAGGTGGACTTCTTCACCTAAAAGATTAAGATAAATGGTCTCTGTTTCCTCCCTTTGTAGGCCACAGGAGAATGCACAGCAATAGTGAAGAAGAAGAATACAAAATTCATCATTTCTACCCAGACCTGCCATATTACTCCAGGTAGCTGATATCTGGGGTGGCAATGCTGCTGTGGGAAAAAAATGAATCATTCTTGTTTTTTATTTTGTTTTGTTTTTTGAACATCTTATTGTGGTTTGGGTGAAAGTTTACAGGGAAAATTCGTTTTCCACTCAACAATTTACACAGATTTTGTTTCATGACATTGGTTGCAATCCCCTCAATGTAACAGCACCCTTCCCACTTCCTCCCTGGGTTCCCCCTTTTCATTTGCCCATCTTCCCTGCCCCTTCTTGCTTTCTGAACTTTGTTTTTGGTGTCACATTGTTGATTGTTCTGAGGAACACATTCATCACAGGTGTAATTGTTCACTTTATAGGCTTGCTATTGTTTGGCTGAAAGGTTATCCCCAGGAGTGAGTTAATTGACCCTAACTTCTGATGGTTCTTTTTGCTAAACTTGTTTCAATAATTTTAACATTGGGGGGAAAAAAAAATCTCTTTTTCTATTTTTAACCCTAGACTGCACTCTAGTTCTGATTAAGCCCATCCTGTTTCTGTTTTGGATCTGTGGTGACACAGTGGTTATGTGCTAAGCTACTAAGTGAGAGGTCAGTGATTTGAATCCACCAGCTTCTCCACAGGAGAGAAATGGGGGCAATCTGCTTCCACAAAGATTTACAGCCGTCCTACAAGGTTGCTGTGAGTTGGAACCAACTCTACAGTAGTTAATGGCTTTGGTTTTGGTTTGGTGTTTCTGGACCAACCCAGGCCAGGCCCCTGCCCCCTGCTGGAGGACAGCAATAGCAATGACAGTTGCAGCATCTGGATAAGGGAGACAAGGAGGGAGTGCTAGAGCAGCAGAGTCTTGAACATGGGGTGAGGCTTAGGCCAACCATCCCCTTAGCGCTATTTCCTGATATTCTTCTTCTGTGGTACATTGTGTTAGGTGTGTGCAAAGGCTTTGCAAAAAGACAAGACCCAAAACCTGTCCCTTGATTATGGCAGCATCCTACAGTAAGAAAAGCACAGGCTTTGAGGTCACACCTGGTCTGGAATATTTCAAATGACTTTAGCTTTCTTTTTCTATAGCTCTTCTATTTTCTGTTTCATTGATTTCTGCTCGAATCTTGATTATTTCCTTCCTTCTTGTAACTGTGGGTTTTTCTTGCTGTTCTTTCTCTAATTGTTGGAGATGTTCGTTTAAAGTGTTGATTTTGACTCTTTCTTTTTTTTTGATGTGTGCACTTATTGCTATAAATTGGCCTCTGATCACTGCTTTTGCTGTGTCCCAAAGATTTTGGTATGTTGTGTTTTCATT